CCAGGCAAGATCTCCTCTAGAAGCAGTCTACAGTTTGTCCACTAGATGTCAGAGAGCTCCCAGATTTCAGGATGGCAGCGTCCAGGTCTCAGTGAAATCATACTTAAACCTTTAGTTTACCAAACATGACGGAACCCAAAACAATACAGACAAATATTAAATTCTGTTCAATTGTATTTTAAATTTTAAAATAAACATATCCCAGTGATTTTAGCCAACAACCACAAATCCTAAATTCAGTTTTAGAATATTATATAAAAACAGGCCATCCTGACTCCTACAAAAATTCTGAGACGGTTTAAAATATTTAAAAAATAAAGGTTATGTATATGATATATGATCTGTGATAAAAATCCCCCTGTTATGGACTTGTTGTTTGACTTTATAAATTCCTGCTTTCAATCGACCACATCGACCAAAAGAGGGAGACATTACATTAAAAATAAAGAAAAAACATTTGTTCTAAATGTGAACCCTTCACATACGTCTCATACAAACTCACTGTTCACATCACTTTAAATCTATAAGCCACAAAGTTTATAAACCCAATCTGTCTCCAGATTATTATTAGTATAAATTCAAACGTATACATTATATCTTTTTATTTTTTACATAGTTGCATATCCTCTTTTTTTTCTCATATATATTTCACTTGACTCTGGTCCTATCATCAATATGAAATTGTGCCTTTGCTTTATGTTCTTGTCAATCTCTCTGGCTAATGTAATGCCCTGTAACTTAGTCTGGGCCCCAGAAGCTGACACACAGTCGTGTATGAATGCAGTCAGAAGATGGCAATGGTGTCAGGTTATTGCTCAGCTGTCGGCGTTGGTGGTCTGGACGGGCAGCGGCTCAGCGGTGAGCGGGGCTCCTTTCTGCCTGCTGGAGATCTTGTACTAGCTGCTTGAGTCAGCCCTAAGCCGCTCTCCCCACGCAGGGCTCCCTTCACCAGCGTTCACCTAAATCTGTCACACAGATTTGACACTGCGTCACTTGGAGTGCACTCTGAAATGACATGTATATAATGTGGAATATTGTGCACATTTACAGCCTGGACTTCCCTCAGAGCATGAACGTCTTTTTTTGTTTTATGTGATTTTTCTTTTCCTCTTGTGTTGAAAATGCAACTCAAGATTAGCAAATTTTTCAAATTTTGAATTTGAATAAAATTAAATATTTTCATGTCTTAAATGTTGAATGGTAGTTATTATATGAACATTTATTTTTTATTTTGCACTAATTTTAATTGTCAAATAAAATCATTAAGATTATTAGAGAAGCATAAAAATGGTCTTGAGTAACTGAGTGTTAATTATGTCGGTTTGATCAGATTAATTGACCAGTTTTACTGTTGTACGATTGTGGACTTTCACCAATCATAGTGCTCTCTTGACATTTCTGTGCACGGTCCAAATTTCACAGTCAAACACATCAGAATGTTTAGGCCATAAACCTAACAACCTAAATCAGCTCAAATTAGCTTCTCAGCTATTCATGCATGAGAAATAACCCTTCACACTGCCCTGTATCTCTTTCCCTGAGGAAAAAAAACAATTCACACTGATCCAGATTTTACAATATATACATTTTAGCTACCTATCTCAGCATGTGCATTTGCACATAGCTCCTTTTTAACATGTAAGTAATTTGAAGATATTTCCTGTAGTAATTTCCTGATATATTTCCAATTCATAACCAGCTCTGGTTATTCAGGCCTGTGTGTGTCTGACGGTCTGCCCGTGTCTCCTCCATAAGATCCTCCTGCTTGGAGAAAGTTGTGCATCAGGAACGAACACAAGACAGTGGCATGAGTGCTTATTATCCCGGGTTCACTTCTTCCCCTCACATGACTTTCGCTCTGTGGCTTTCTTCTGCTGTATTTATTGGATAAAGTGGTGGCTACTGGCCTCGGTGGCCAGTAAGAAGGATTTTCTCTCCCCAGCCGGCGTGGCTTTGCCCGTTTGTACTGCACAAAGTGGTTTGAAACTGGGTTGTGGGTTAGGGTTGAAGATGCATATGAAGTCTCAGGTTTAAAAATAATTAATGCAGTGTGTATGATGATGTTTGTCCATAGATGTGAGAGAGTTTGTGGTTTCTGTTTAATAAAACCGGGATGTTTTGTGTTTCCAGCAGGCCCAGAGAGCATCACAATGATTTGCTTATCCAGATGTAAGTGAAGAGCCATGGATGTCCTCTCTTTTGGGAATCTCCAGACGTTTGGGAAGAAAATAGAGGTTAAAAATCTGCTAAATGAGTTAGCAGCAACCTGGATCCTCCACATGCAGGTAATGAGCTTGATTCATTTTTGACCTTTGGAAACTTTTCACTCCTTTTTAAGCCCCCCTTTTTTATTTTTCCCACCCTGGGATAATAAGGAATTGTGTATTACGCAGGTTTTACACTGAGGACTTGAAACAGGCTCATTGTTTGCACATGAATTACAGGCCATAGTGAAAAAAATAGTGTGTATGCAATCAGCATTTTATTATGAATACACATCAAATTTGCCCTGTGCAAAATCAAAATCTAATTGCATAGTTAAAATATGGAAATGTACAATGTTTTAGATACTTTCTTAACTTAAAGGTAGACTGCAAAAACTTTTTGGCCTATAAATAATAATGCAGAGGATGCTTATTTTCTCTCACAGGTGTTTAGAGATCCTCTCTCTGATAAATCATGATTTGTAAACTTTGCCATAGACAGCAGTGACAGGTTTCCTCTGATAATGTAGAAAAATGGGGAAAGAGAGGGCCGTGCTTAAGTAGAGCTGTGATTTAGAGCAGGGAGATGCAGCATCTCTCCTTTCCAGTGGAGGCCCTCCTGGGTTTGATTTAATTCTCTCCTTGCACTATTAAAAAGGCCTTCCACTCTCTTCACTGCATGCACCTTGCTGTCATAACTGGCACAAAATCATTTATCAATGCCGCTCGTAGGCAGTGGGAGTAAGGCCTTTCGCAGTGTATATCTTTCCATTATTGATTGTGTGTGTAATGCATGAAGAGCTACAAAGATGTGTCTCCTCCTGTGTTAGAATGACCATATTAGGGACAGTAGATATAAGGCAACTTTTTTCTGCTTCATCTATGAAACCATATAGCGATCATCATTCCTGCTGGAAAGGGAACTTTAGCTCTAAAAAATAGATCCTCATTTCACCTTCGTCTCGCTGGCCGCTGAACTCAACAGTAATCCCGGTGCTGGACGTACAACAAGCTGTTATTTGGTGCAATAAACTGAAAGGCAGTGAATGTCAGTGTCCCCCTTTGTTGTTTAATTTATTTTCTTTTCAAAGTGAAGGGAGGTGTCCTTGCTGTGAGAGTTAGTCATTGATGTGGCTATAGTTAGTCTGTCCCCTGCTGTGACTGTCTGTAGGAGATGCTACTTCCTCTTTCCTGCCCGTTTCGTGGCTTCGTTTGCCTGAGATGATCGCCTTGTCTCGCCTCGCCTCGTCTCACCCAGCTCTGCTCCGCTCTGTCTGGCTGCATTTTGTATGGGGACGGGTGCACTCGATCAAGAACTAAAGGTACAAGTGTGAAGTACAACAGTGCCACACTTCCAAGAGTAGCACCACTCTTGGGTCAAACAAGGTCCCGTAACCTTCAAAAAAAAGCTGGCATTCCGGAGACTCTCACGCTGTTGGGAGGTGGCTAAGATAAGTGTGTCTGCATCTTTTTTAATGTGCCAAATTTAATGATTTAATAGCACGTTGCTTTACAACCCTTTAGCCCGGATTATTCCCAGGAATTTAGTCATTTGTAAGATCCTTTCATGGGCTTAACAATAAAGTTATTGGTGATACGTATGAATCTTGAGATTTTAGATTAGTTAAGAAAAGGTTCAATGCTCCTGTTCTATTATGGCGGGAGTTGTAGAAAATGTGGCGTCTGAATGCAGATTTTTTTTTGGTGCATAATAAGCTTACAGATCCACTTACATGTGTATTAAGGCAGGATCTGCAGGGTAGATTTAGCTGGATAAGCACACACGTTACATGCTTAAGTCTCATGGATGGTGAGCTATCCTGAGAATATCCTGTAACTGCTGGAAATCGATCTTATCTGTGAACAGCCTCCATTTGTTTTATTTAGAGTTATAATGATACTAAATAGTTTTATCAACAACTAACTAATGGTCTTATCAGGAATTGATGAAACCTCTGGTCAATAAGCTTAAAGTAAATGGAAAGAATCTATTACGGGCTGAGAGCCCTTTATCTCAGCTGTCTTAAATATTGGCACTTACAGTGATTTGTCCCCATTTTCTATTGATTTCTTGTTTTGCTCCCAGGTTATGCTGTGAACAGGGTAAATAGTGACAGATTTGAGCATCAGAGATGATCCATGCTGAGCTGACTCGGTTCACTCATCAGCCGTGTGACTAATGAAGATTCCGTCGAGTGGCCATTTCGGCTTTTTCTGTGGAGGCTAGGTCAGTTGGTGACATCTCTGAGAAGCAGATCGGGCATGTTGTCGATGCTGCAGCAAGTATGGTTGAAGTCTGAAGATGTTGATCGGAGTTGGCGGGGGAACGTGTTGCTGTGCTAATTGTAATTCATAAGTCAGGCGGACGGAGGTGTGGCTTTTGCACAGAGGTTTGTTGAGTTCAGGGAAACGAGTGCTTGCAGGAACAGAAAAGCATGAGTCAGAAATGCAGAGAAATGTTTGCAGGATTTCACCGAGGCAGGATGCAGACCTGCAATTAATTCATCTAAAGAGGATCGTTTTAATAGACACTATGTGAGTTTCACTGCAAACACATTCACCGAGTTCTTAAGACGGCAAAACAATTTTTATTTATTTTATCACGACAGAAGCTGCATTTGTCTGGAGTAAAACTGGAAAGTTTTTCACTTCCTTATTTATTTTGAAGATCTGTGTCTGTGATGTCTTCCCTAGGTTTTATCAATGATATATCACTGTCTGGAATGCATTGGTAAGCCTGGCCACCGAGGGCTAGCATATAGCTCTCTCAGCAGGCTTTGTACAGGATGAAGAAGTCGTAATCCTCAAACAGACTTAAATTCCTCCAGAAAGGCTCTTGATCCTGAATCCACTCATTTTCTTCAAACAACTCGGCCCAAAAGAGAACGGGTATTTGGGCATGACTGAAATCCTTGATTGAAATCTTCTACAAGTGGGCACAGACACGCGTGTGCATCGATGCCACACGCACACAAATAACCCTAAAACTCCTAAGTACACACACATACAGCTCCCCAGCCAGTGCCTGCTGATGGGGAAACTCTGGGCCAGGTTGTTGAGAGGGTCTCTCTCAGCTATTATTAAAAGGTAAACTTCTCTAAGGCCAGAGAATCATGTCAATCACAGGTTGTGTTTTCGCACCAAGCCCAAAGCCTGCTCTCTCCGCCGTGTCAGATGCCGTTATCACCCTCAAAGCCATATCAGAATGCTGTTTGTTCTGCGCTTTAGTTTCACCCACACAGCGGATTCAAAAAGGTACAGGTCTATTTGATAGTGTATATTTCATTGCCGGAGAGAGACTGTGTTTGTCTTGCTGTGTTTGTCAGCTCATATTTGAGCTGACGGTTCCTATTAAAACTAAACACCATATCAGAGGGATATTGCCACCACCAGGCTCTTTTAAATCACATATTGAGCCTGTGTGGAGTGTGGAAGCAATTTAGGTGTAGCATAGTTTATAAGGGTGACTTTGCGTGCCATGTTTCTGTTTACTCACGATTCTCATTTATTTAAAGACAGTCGCCTCCCGTCACATATTTCATATACTGTAATAATAACTTTAGTTATATTGTCGTTTGTAATATTCTAAAAATATTACCTTGTTTGCAGTTTCACCTATTTAATATCCTCCTTTGAGGATATGGCAGGTTTCCATTGATCTGTCCTCAAAGTCCCCAAGTCGGTTAAGACTGTAAAACTTTGTGCTTTTTCCATTATGCTTAACGTTCAATATATACTGTATTTGAGTTAACTGAGGGAGGATTTGTTATTCCATTTCGACAAGATGCAGGTAAGAAAGCAGCAAAAGCAAAGGTCTCAGGTGGTGTGTTGTTGCTTCAGTGATACTTGTCTCAATCCACCCACTTACCTGCTTTCTGGGATTTCATAGGATGGATGATGCTTTTTTTGCTAGAGCAGATCTGACACAACCTAATTTCATTGTTCATTCATTGCCCTGCACTTCAATAATAATGTTATGATGTCATGATCATATTATGTTGTGGTTCCAAAAAGTTGTTCTCCAAAATGATTCTCAGAAAGCTGTTGTGAAAAAGGCTTACTGTCAGTTCTGATGTGTACATTTTAAGATGTGTGCGTGATTTAAGACATGATAGTGGAGAGCTCATTGTATCGAATGCCAGTTTGTTTATATTATGATATGCTTGTACAAAATTGTTCATGTTAATGGTATGAATCCTTTTAAATTAGATTTTCAATCAGTCAGCTGGTCACTTTTGAGTCATTTATTCATATTTTCTTATAAAATACTTAATTTGGTAGAGAAACAGTCACATTTTCAATATATTGTTTTACAACTAGGTAGTGATTTTTTTTATTTTCCAAAATAACATTTTTGAACTCCAAATTTTCTGAGAAACACCAGGCCTGCCAAAGGGAACCGTCACAGCTTTTTAAATCTCTGTAAACCTATGTATTGATTTTCTTATCCCAACCCCCCTATGGATATATAGGATATAGCTCATGTATGTATTCTCATATGATTGCTAATTACTTTAAATACCTCCCAGATCCTCCACGTTCACCCACCGATGAAAAAGGAAAACAATAGCGAAGCAGGAGAGCTATTCCAGTCATTAGTTAGTTTGCTGGACAAACTGCAGGATTCAACACTGTGGGTGGCTGGGGAAATAAAAAGGTACTTACGCTGGTATTGACCTTGTTGCTGGACCTACTGCTGTTTGCTCTGTGGCCAACCTTCCTCAACACACACACACACACACACACACACACACACACACACACACACACACACACACACACACACACACACACANACACACACACACACACACACACACACACACACACACACACACACACACACACACACACACACACACACACACACACACGCATTATATGATTCTGCATCCATGTCAGAGGAAAAATACAGTGAGTAATGATGAAAACAGTCGTCTCAGCAGCACGTAGATTGTATAACTGCAACAAAGTCATTAAAATCGCTTGAAAAATCCCAGTTAATTTCCCAGTGAAGACACGTTTCATTTCATACTTTCCTTGGATGCATCTCAAGTTAAAAACAAACAAAATAAAGAGAC